GGATTTGGATATCGGGCTGAAGTTTCAGAATTTTCGGATCTGGGTTTGTTATAGGGCTTTACTCTCCGAGGCCACCCCCCAATCCCCCTCCAACGAAGAAGTGTGCAACCTTATTCGGGTCACTTGTGTTGGACTCTGGGTGGCTGGCCACATAGGGGCTGCAGTTAGTGTAGTTTAGGTTTAGGGTTCAGGGGTTTAGGGTTTAGGGTTTATGTTTCGTGAATTGGGTGTGGTTTTGTCCCCCAAAACGGAAGACAGGGGACACCCTGATAGAAGTAATCATGCTTGGGTGTCCCTTTGAGGTGGTTTTACTCCCCCAAAAGAAGAACAAAAGGAGCACAGCGAATCTCTTTCGAACATGCATAACCTCCCTATCGCAGGAATTCGCAGTAGAACGAACAAGAGCATTTCATCGAGTCGGCTAAGTAGCGGTATTGTCCACATGCAACTGCTTCTCACGTCGAGCCTTCGACTCCATGTACTCCGTGATGCCAATCAGTCCGGGATCTTGCCCGTCGACTTTAGTCGTCTCAGCCCACACGAAAGCTGTCACCTGACACTGAGCTGACAATCAAGCCTAAGTTTATATGTGGGTGCACGCCGGATAGCTGGAACACTTATTCGTAGCAAGTAGCATGCCGATCCAGATAAGCTTCTGCTGCAGCCACTGATTCGTCGTGCAGCTTTCGCCGCCACAAATTCTTTTGGTGAGCCACAGTCGATTCGTGGCTTGCTGTGTTTGCTACAAATACTTGGAACGACTGTATGTCGAACTCGATCTCTTTCTTCAGCAAAGCAAAAGTGGTTGCATCCAACTCCATCTGTGCTTTGTCCAGGTTCACGCTGGCCGCACCCTTGGACTGAGTACCAGGCCGGCCACCACTGAACTCATCCACGAGTTGTCGCAAGCCTGTTTGAGAAGAATGCCGACTAGTCCTTTTCCTAAGATTCAATCATTCAAGCAAGATGCTCTCGCAACTCCTTGGGCCGTATGCCGAAACACCGAAGCAACAGCAGCACACAGCTCTACCTCCAAGGCGACATCGCCCGCCGCGAGACGTTTGAGCCACCTGACAGGATGCTTTAACAGAACTTAGTTAAGGGTTTCGGGTGTTCGGGGTGTTCGCTTACGGTTGTCAGTGCTCTGGCCTCTTGTTGATGTAATCTTCTATGTTCGGGATCTCCTTGACGAGATCCTCTCGCAAAGCCACGGCCAATGCACCTGTGAAGTAGTTTTGGGAGTCTGGGGGGTTCTGAATGTGTAGATGTGTAGCTTCCTGCACAAAAGTCTCCTGTGCAACTTAGTAGCAGAACTCACTTCTCTGCTCGAGAATTGCTTTCGTGGGCTTCTGACGGAGTGTTTTCGGCATCCCCTCGAACACACTGTTGGTGTACTGGAGGGTGTAGGTAGCGGATTCCGTGGTGACCATGCCGTAGCGGGCCCAGTTGCTTTGCTTCGTCACTTTAGCACCTTTGAACTGCCAGCCCGGAAGCAGCTTCTTCGAACTCAAATTCTCGTCTGAGTACGGCGATCCTGAGTAGGCCAGGTCAGGAGGCAGATTGGTCGATTAGAAGCACAGCCCTAACATGAAGTTGCACGCCTGATGTTGCTAAGCGGCCCTTCCAGCCCAGTTTGTTGACCATGGACACAATGTTTTCTCGCACCGATCCTTCCATTTCCAACACATTACGCACCGTCATAAAACGCTGGCCCGTCAACCTGTCACGGGCAGCTGCCCCGTCGTTCCAAGCACGGATAACATCCGAGGTGTCCCAGCCACCGCTGGATTGCAAGGAGATGAGGCCGTTCAGCCATGTAATCGGATTTGGGGCTTCCCTGATTGACCCTCGAGAAAGAACTTTCATGCTGTAGAACCTGGACATTCCCGAGGCTTGCTTGAGTGGTGACATGTCGCACAGCTACAGACAGCTAGACCTGAAACTCGTGCCCAGGGGCAACTCGTCCTTGGCATCCAGCACACGAAGGCACTTCACCGCAATCCGATTCGTGCTTGATGCCATTGCAGGACTCGCCTTGCAGGAGTGCTTATAGATGAGTGCAATAGATCCCGAATCCTATTCTTTCAATAATAGGGTTTAGGGTTTGGGCTTTACCAGGACGTGACAATCGGACCTATAAAATAATATCTCAACAGCATACCTTATTTTGAGGGATTATTTTATAGGTCCGGTTGACACGTCTTGGTAGGGTCTTAGTCACTTATTCTAAGGCTTAGTTAGGATAGGGGCATCATATTATTTCGTCCTCCTTCCCAAGTCCCGCGAAAACTTGACTCTTTTTTCTATCGCACTTAGACTTTGGGGGGGGAAATCACTTAGGGCTTAGTTAGGATTTCAAGGGGATGATATTAGCAAATGGGGCCAGCCTGCAACAATGACATCCCTTCAAGCTTGAAGCACGCCATCATGGCCAAGCATGTGACCATACGGGACTGTCCTTTGATGTAGCAGAGGGAGAAGTCGGCAATTGCATCATCCGATGGCACCTCACAATGCTCTCCCAAGTCATGGGCCGGGTGCTACGAAGCAAAACCCACAGCTCTAGGACTCTAGGCCGAGTGACCGGGACCCTCAGCATCAGAGGCTCTGTCGCAGTCAGGAAGCCATCAGCCAAAATGCTGTCAACTAGGGCATCGCTTTTATGCAAAGATACCGGCCCGCATTGGCTGCTCTGTTCAGAAAAGCTGAACCGAGCAGGGTGCACAAAGCAAGCCTCACACGCATCTTCATGGTTGGGGGCCACGATGGTCAGGTCTTTGTACCTGTTGATGTGAGGCACAGTGTCCTCGCAGACTTCTGCCCTGAGATAGTCGGCAAACTCAGTTCGAGCCGATGCATTGTGGAAGTGGTGTGCCAGGAATTGCCGTGGTCCACCATGGCCTCGCCAAAGGACGGGCAACGGGGGTGGGTGTTCCAATTCATGGTCAGTTTCTGAGGTCTACACGGTTGAAGTAGCCCATGATCATGCTCTTCATCCGGTCTCGCATCTGTCCGGCTTCGCCAACTGTAAGTTCTGACACCGACGGAGCCGTTGTTGCTGCCTCCCGGGTGGTGGGTCATGGGGTTGTGGGGTTGACTGTCAAACAAAAGCCCCGAGCCAGGCCAGGGTCAGGCCTGGCTCATGGTCTCGTCTGCATCGTGGTCCTGGGGGTTGTCGGCGGCCATAATAGGGCCACCTGGCTCCGACATGTTCCGGAGTCACACGAACCCTTTGAGTCAAAAGCCTCAGGGCCGGTCGGCAGTGTTCAGTCAAAGCAAAATGTTCTATGTCGAGTGACGATAACAAAGGCCAGAGATCGAGCGATTTCGGCCGAAGTCGATCGAACTCAATCACACAGACGCGAATCCTTCTAACCTGACTATAGAGAACGGGGATGAGGGTTCGAGGGATTACCTGCGCCAAAACTGTGCTCGAGCACTTTCGGCCGAATTCATTCGAACTCGTAGACACAAAACGAACCTTCGAGCTCGAGGGATGGGTGCCGCTGTTTCGCATCCACGCGATGTCGTCCTCTGGACTCTCTACCCGACATTTAGCAGGCACACGAAGACATGGGCAAAGATGCGAACATGACGGGTAAACTAAGCTCAATCTTCTTGACACAAACATGATGCCAGACATCGTGGCCCTTTGAATGTCGCAGGCCCTTTTGAACATTGGGCACTGAAGAACAAGAAGCTTCCTGGCTGAAGGTGTCAGAAACAAATTTCACAACCCGAATCAGAATCACTTGTACTTCGTCGTCGACTTTACCACAGCCTTGGCTTGGCTTCTGATTCTGTCTCTAAGTTGACGGGTATTATGTCACTGTGTTAGCACCGAGAAAGTGAGGCCTGAAGCTGAGTCGCAGACGCCAGAGATGTGGCAGTCTTCTGGATTCATTTTTTGGGCTTCGCCTTGCTGGGTCGCCGTTTCTTTGTGCCCTTGGATTTTGGCTTTTTGCCACCGGCTTCTGTGGCACTGGGCTTCTTCTTCGCACCGGAGTTCGTGGTCTTCATGGTACTGGCAGCTGGCTTTTTGGCAGGGGCCCTCCTGTTGGGACGCCGCATCTTTGCCCCAGATTGAGCAAAGAAGTCCGGGTTTGATGGCAAGTGCACGCTCGGCAAAGCGAGGTCACACTCACTATCGATGTCGGGAGGCAACACTAGCGAAAGGCTTGACATGGTCTTCCTCATTCTACAGCCGGTCACTGATCAAGGCCTGAGAGCCAAGAAAGCAAGGGAAGTGTCTCGCATGGGACCGGCTGTCAAGCTGGCAGCTTCTGGGTACTTTTTTCGTCGGCACGGTTCCCCGATTACTCCAACCTTAAACGCTCAAATGTGCTCTCCCAGCCTTGTGGGAGCAACCAAGTGTTGTCATGACAAAATCAGAATGTTCGACTGTGGGTGTTCGCCGCAAGTTCCTTGAGGACCTACTATTAAATTACTTTCATGTGGGCCAGTCTGCAAGCACTCACAACCGGACACTCCCCGCCCCTGTATGGCAAGCCTCACCTTGCACGCCTTCATCTGTCAACAGCTCAGTCAGTCAGAGCTCACGACGACACAGCTCCTCGCCCACGGCCTCGCCCACCAGTCCCACGTCCTGCCTTGGCAGCAGCCGCCTTGGCAGCAGCCGCCTCGGCTGCCTTCGCTTTCTCCAATCGTGCAACTCGCCGCTCCCGGTAGCCGAGCTCTCTGCACTGCCCACAGCCTACCGACGTGTTGTTTCTACACTTTGGGCAGCCCAGGGTGTCCACAGTGATTTCACCTTCGTTCTGCTGGGCTGGCACGATGAGTGGCCCCTCCGCTGGGGGCGGCAAGGCTGGATGTTCAGCTGGAGCTGGGCCGTCCACTGGAGGCGGCAGGGCTTCCTTCGCAGATCGCTTCTTCTTTGAGGCCTGCTTTGCCTCCTTCGGAGCAGGCCGCTTCGCAACCGACACAACACGAACTGGGCCTGGGCGAACTTCTGCCACCTGCAGCGGAAATGTGGGGAGTGTCTTGGGAGTCCCAAAGAACCCGCTCATACTCATGATGCTCGCCGGCCCCGTGCCCACAGAACCCCCAAACGCTCACCATCTGTACGCTGACGGTATCGAAAAGGCCCCCGGTTTGTGTTTCGTGAGTTGCCTGACTGTCTGGTCTTGCCCCCCAAAACCAAAACCCCAAAACGGAAGAAAACGGACACCCTGAAGCCTCATAGAAGTAATCATTCTTGATCAAGGTCTCCCATGTGGGTGTCCCTCTGAGGTGGTTTTGCCCCCCCCAAAACAAAAGAACGGAATAATAGAAGTAATCAATTTTATCAAGGTCTCCCATGTGGGTATCCTGAGGTGGTTTTGCTCCCCAAGACGGAATAGACACCCTGATAGAGGTAATCATTCTTGATCAAGGTCTCCCGTGTGAGTGTCCCTTTGAAGTGGTTTTGCCCCCCCGAAAACGGAAGAGAAGGGACACGAGGAACCTCTTGCGAATATGCAATAGTCCCGTGGTCGCCGACCAACCCCGGCTGGTGCAGCAGTGGGCCATGCTCATGATGCTCGCCCCTCTTGTGGGGCAAACCTCTCCTTCTCTCATCTCCCGCTCTTCAGTGCTTCACAAACGAGGCCCCCACCCTAGAGGATCAGGCACGTGCATCTGGATCGGAGGTGCATTGAAGAACCAATCCGGCTTTGTGGTCTGGCCGGGAACGCCGCTTTCGTTCGCATCCTGATTAAGAGTGCTAGGTAGCCATCAATATTGGGTCAGGGTACGTGTCTGCGGCTTCCACAATTAAGGCTTTAGGGTTGAGGGTTTCAAAGGCGAAATTGAGGGCAGCTCCACCCACTGAAGAAGGTAATCCCGGGCCCGTGTCAGATTCCACGGGTCTTTGGCCACGGTGTGTGCAGTTTTGCGAAACCTCGGATGACACAGAGCTTCAGGGGTATCATCATACGGTCATACGGTTCCCAGCTCCTAACTTACTGCTACAGAGCTTCTCGTCCCGCTGTCGATTGGAGAGCATGTTTCGCTGCAAAGGCACTAATGTGCCCGGGTCGAGTTTCTGCAACCAGCCGTGTGAGAACAGAAGGGTAGGAGGCTGAGAAAGTTCTGCACTGCTGACCAATTCCTTCAGGAGAATCACTGCATCCTCCGGGTGCTCCTCCTTGCTGGGAAGCTCAGTTTCCGGGTTTGGACTTTTGTGCTGGGGTGCAGTCTAGGTCCTAGATTGTCCAGGTTGGGTTTGCTTTAGGTTGGTGCAGAGCACCGGCCTATCCATCAGAAGCTTTAGAAACCAGGTGCACGCCACCCTAAACCCTATAGATACCTTCAAGACCTCTTAAAGATCCCGTATTATACTAAAGACCCCTTCACACACCCTACGCCCTAAACCGTAAGCCCTAAAGTCCTTAAACCCTGAGCCCTAAACCCCACGCGAACCCTAAGCCCTAAAGTCCTTAAACCCTGAGCCCTAAACCCTAGACCCAAAACCTTAAACCGTAAACCTTAAACCGTAAAGCAGGCTACCCAGAGAGTCCTCGCCAGGCAACTCCACGACAGTCCATTCCGTCTCGGTCTTCCGGTCGTATGTCGGCAGGTCCTGAATCTCAAAGCAATAATCCTCGAAGAAGCCCGTCATTCACTTCGACATGACTATGCAAATTTCTCGATGCTGCTATGAGTCAGAACGACGAACAATTCGCCACGAATGCACACTCTGAAGATGGCGAGGGCCAGGGACTAGGCCGGTGATTCGAACATCCAAACCAGCAAAGAAGGCCTTAAAATCCCATCCTCCTGTCATCACCTCCACGACTAATTGCCGCCTTCGCCCAGGACGAAGAGTGTCGCGAATCACCCTGACGAAGTCCTGAGGCCGGATTGCT